TACCATGTATTCAGAGGTTTATTACCATCCTGATGAAGCTGAAGCTAGCAGCGCTGGGTTTAGGACATCTGCTTTCTTCGGGCACTAACGCCCGTATGTTGTGTGTTTGTGCGCACATTTTTTGACGTGTGAGAGATGCGAAAAATCATTTAATACGACGCATGTTCCTCCCTTTGTCACTCTTAAGTCGCTTCAAGGTCGGAAAAGTCATTTTACTCCACACCTTCTGACACGATCACATATATGTTCTACATCAGCTCGTTCCAGCTTTTCATTAAAGCTACGTAACGTTTAGTGAATTATTCAAATCCAATCTGTTTTTTGGTTTATTTGTTTTAGCTGTTTGTTTTTTCTTTAGCTGAACCATGTGCCAAGATAAAGATATTTCTTATCTTTGGAAACTGAGGTGTTGAGGATTATTAATTACAAGTTTAACTCTCAAAAAACTGAGTGAATCTCCTTCATCACGACTGTGCGGCTGTGGCTTGATCAGACTTGATTGTTAGAGCTGGAAAAATAGTCACCATGTTTTGATTCAAATATTGCTGAGCTCTGATTGGTGCTCGGAGGTGTGGGACAACGTGCGCCACCTTTGTCCAACTTGGCCTCGCCCACAACAAACCAGTGAGAACAATACTGACGTCCCAAAGGAAAGAGGATTTCAAGGCTTTTAAAGAGGTAGAATCAAAACTAATGAAGCAGTTTTGTTCTATATGATGGTTTATATTTATATTATATTTTCATAGCAAGTTACAAAAAGGAAAAGGTGAAATAGTTATTTGACTCCTGTAGGATGTGATGAAGACTTTAGCTTCATTTAAGACCCTTTCTAAACTTTCTAAACTGTTTATAATTGATTATAATATTCCTGCCAGTGAACAGTCCAGTACAGTGGTAGTGTTGTTTGCTTTCTTTATCCACAATGAACTGAAACATCAGCGTCGTTACTGTTCCACAAGTGTGACTGTGATTGATGTGTCTCAGTCCGCTGTCGTCGGCGACCACCTGCCATCACACGCCTGTTTATTGTCTCGCATCATCAAGTGTGCAACAACTCGAAGCAGCAGAGTTTAATGGAGATTTTATAGACGGACACTGCAGAGGCTGTGGCTCCTGCTCCTACTCTGCAGTTATTTCTGATATCAGATATAAGAAATAAAAATGATAAAAGCCTGTGACCGGGGTTGAGTCTCTGTAATACAGAATCGGTGGTTGACCACAGTGACCCACTCAAGGCTTATTCTCTAATAAAAGCCCAGTGTTGGTGCAGTTTATGGGTCTACGAGTTGGCAGGCTGTCTTGTGCAGATCTGGGAGAACAGGTCTGACCGGAGCACCGGCAGGCTTCACACCTCTCACTCCTGTCCTCCGCCTCCCTCTGTTTCTATTCTTTCTCTCTGCCCCCCCGCCTCCCTTTATAAATGAAACACCAGCCTCGCGGCAGCGCAGACAGCTGCAGATGCAGTCGGCCCTCTGCGTGCTCGTGAGGCACGCATGAGTGTTTTGCGTATGCGCACGTGTTGCAGGCTAAGTATTTGACCCCGGCCGATGGTTGCATACACGCAGGGTTGGCCATATGTTGAGAGGTGATTAGCATCTTTCCAAATCTGCTCATACACTTTAAGTGGCAGAAAGCTGGCGACAGAGCTGAGGAGGTTTAACCTTTGCATTAAGGGTCAAATGAAGAAGTCTCGCTGCCGTAAACCCTGAATACTTGGGGGGGCAACACTGGAGAAATACAGGAAAAATCAGAAGGCTAAAGTATTATTGTGTCCCGTTCCAGTAAAGCAGAAATGTCAGGAAAGGTTTGCAGACTACATCCACTCTTCTCTCGGCAGCGAGTCGTCCTTGAGCGAGGCCTCTGATTACTCAGCAGCCGAAGGTGGAAGCCTGCGGTTGTACTGGGCAGGTGTGAAATTGTGAAACTGAATGAATTTGAACGAGTGCGTCGCAGCAAAGACATTCATGCCCAGAGAAGTTACCTGTCAAAATAAAGACAGAAAATAAGTATCTGCACACACACACACACACACACACACACAGGGAGTCGGAGCTGTAGACGGATGGATCGACCGTCCTCATTAGAGAAAGACGTTTTCACTTTCTACACAAACAGCTGAAGGATCAAAGCTGTTCCTCAACATCACAGCGTGTTCATGAAACACAAAGGAAGCCAGAAAGCAGAGATGATGAGAGGTGTATGTTACATGCTAATGTTAGTAGGGACAGTGAACTCACCACAAGCCTAAAGGTATGACAGTGCACATTTTCTTTTACCTGGGCAAACAACAGTATAAGCACCAGGAAGGGCAAATACTTGTGATGCAACAGCGACTTTACATCAGCAGTTCAACAAGGCGCTTAAAGTCGTCCAAAATTAGACATTTTTTCACCGTGCATGGCGAGTGTCTTTAATTATGAGCGTGCTCCGAATGCTGCTAAATCAAGAGGCACTGGAGCTGGACTTACTCAAAAGCAGCTCCTCTGATAGCTGCTCGTTTTTTCACCACTCATGACTTTTTCAATTTGTTTTGTAGAAAAATCTGTGACATTAGATACAAAATGAAAAGTAGTTTCCTTTACAGATTCTGTATTGTGGCTCACGTTGTTCACCATCTGTGTGTAGTCGAGAGCGCAGTATGAATGTGTGTGTGAATGGGTGATTGTGGCTTCCATTGGTCGATAAGACTAGAAAAGCTCCATATAAGCACAGTTCATTTATCTTTTACCATATAATGACTATGACTATGAATCACTTACAACTGCTGTGGTTAAACCTCTACTTAAAAAAACACACACACACACACACACACCTAGAACCAGTCTCTCAGAAATGATTCAACCGCTCTCTAACCTTCCCTTCTCTCTGAAAGTCAAACCTAGCAGTGGTCTAGAAATGATATCAGGGAAACGAGGATTAATTCTCGTGAGAAAATCAGCCATTTCTGAGCTTTAATAGTGGCTGCAGTTTTCAGATTAATGTCGCCGCGGCGTGGACGAGTGCAGCTCCGATTGGGGCTGACATCGGTTGCTGAGCCGCGGGGAGCCGTTGTGAACTTAATTCAGCACAGCGTTTGTGATGGGAGCAGCCCACTTGGTAACTCCAGTGACAGTTCCTCCCCTCCCCCGTCCCCTCCTGTAATATCCAAGCCAGGTTTCTAAATTGGCATGCACCCTAAAATAGCATGAGGGACAGTTACATCAGATCGTTTATGTTTGTAAATGTTTGCTCTCTGTCCGTTCCTTCCAGGAGGCCTTAAAGAGAAATATACACACAGCGTTGATCTGTTAATGTGAAATGTAATGATCTGACCTTGTTTATTAATGATCTGTGAGTTTGAATTGATGAACCTCTGCCTGACGGTTTCACATGCAGTTGAGTCAAACAATTAAAAACTTTTTAGCCTCAAAAATTCTTAAAAACTTTCTACAAAAATCCTGTAAGAAGTTGCATTTTAGGACGGGACTGTACCGATGCTGAAATGTTAAATTAAGACGTGGTGGATTTGATGGCACAGATGAATGAAATGTTGTTGGTGTTTTATGTGCAGCCCATCCCATCAGTCGCTTCGTGCTCCGCACACGTCAAACTTCTGCAGTCACTGTCAGATGCGGCGAGCTCTCTGCGCCGTCTTGTTTGCCCTTTTCTTTTTTTGTCTCCCTTTTATTTCACCACCTGTTCGGCTCCCATCAGCCCCGGGGGGAGGGTGGGGGGGGGAGTGGGGGGTGGGGGGGAGTATGGAGGGACAGAGGGATGGAGGGAGAGGGGGATGAACAGTGTGGATTAACTGTGCTGTGTTGTTGCTGCAGTTCACACATTCCAGTGGGCCGACTCAGGCCAACTCTCTGAACCAACACAGAGGCCTCCTTCACCCTCTTGTGCCCCCACCCCACCCCCCGACCCGGCCTCTCATCCCTCCATCTCCCGCTCTGTGTCCCTAATTCATCCATCTCTCTGCTGCACAACCTTGGTTTTCATTTTAACCTCTGCCTCACTCATCTCCTCATTTCTCATCACATTGTTGATCCGCAGTGTCTTCGCTTTTCAGACTCGTAAATCTTGAATTGTTGAGTCCTCACGAGTGTGTAACGAAGTCCAAAATAAACATGTTTCCTCCCACTAATGATGCAAGGCCTCTCCAACAAATACTCTCTCGCCTTATTTTGAACTGAGAGTCGGACGCCCTCTAGAGGCCAAGCAGTGTGATTTCATGAAAAACTGAAAGTCAGGGTTACAAGGCTTTTATCACTTTGTCTAACAATTAGAGATCGTCCGGTCCAGTCCATTAGCTGACGATGATTAATGGAAAATTCATCTGCAGCTATTTTGATAATCAAATAATTGTTTAATTTGTCTTTTTATAAAGAATAATTATCAAACATTTACTCTTTGTTTTTAAACTTGTCAGAATAAGACATTAGAAGACACACAAATTTTAACAGGCATTTAATGACAAAAAAAAAAAAAAACAGCAGATTAATTAAAGGTGAAAATATTAAATTATTAGTTGCAGGCAGCTGTTAGGATGGAGGTGAGGATGAGATGTGATATCACTCCACAGTTTAGCTGATAAGAGGGATTCATTCACATGACTTTGAGCGGGAGTTTTTTTGTGTCACATGATGTTTCCGTCCTCGGAACAAAACAGCCATTCGTTGATCTGATTATAGTTACCAATTAAATAATATTCTGAAAGTGTTCTGTAGGAAAGAAACAGCTGGTAAATTATTAGTATTAGTATAAGGATTTTTCAGACTTTTCTTACCGCCACATTTTCTCCCTCTTATTGTAAAAATAAATACTTTGTGCTGCCGTTCAGTCGTCACTCGCTCTGATGTTTCAACAGTGATTTAAATGGCTTCTGGTGCTGTGCTTCTACTGGGACAGACAATGACGAGTTTTAATGTGCAGAGTAAAATCCCTCCTGTGATGTTGTCGTTACTGCCACAGTTGTAATTTGCTTCTGCATCATCCATGTTTGTTTGTGTCGTTTCTGTCAGGGCCGGGTGGAAGTGGAGGCCGGTAACGAGAACATGAAGTTTGAGACCGGGCCTTTCTCTTTCTACGGTGTCATGGCGCTCAGTGCTCCCACATTGGGTGAGTCCAGAACCTCCATCTCCTCTCCTCTGTTATTTTACAATGCACTATCAATTAATGTACTAGGGTTAAATTAGTGTTTGCAGTGTAATGTCCCACGTTTAAATGCTTCTTCTGCCACCTAGTGGCAAAATGTCATATAGCTGTGACTGCTTTCTAGGATTGTAGTTAAATTAAATGTCTAGTAAACAGTTTTTATACTTACAGCTTCTTCAGGAACATTAGTAAACCAGTTACAGTTAATTATAATGAATGAATAATGTAGAATAAGTAAAGAAAATCCCATTACAGCACACCAGAAAGGAAAAGAATTCAAGTATTAAGCAATAAGCATCACAATTTGTGACTCCACATTTCACCAGCTTATATGATTTGTACTGTATATTATTTTACTGAAATTCAAAGTCCATTAGACCAAGATATCAGCTGCAGTATGAGATAAGAGTATGTGTACTTATAATAAATGTGGACAGTGAGGCAGTTTCATTAACATGACTTTAACGTTTTCATTTAGCATTCCTTAAAGTCATCATACATCATGTTGGCTAGCATGTATTACTTTGCCGCACCTCATAAAAAATTAAGAACACTTTAGTTTACACTATTTAAATTTCAGTTTACCACTGTGGCTGCCACTCATCAATAGATAATGGAGCCACACCCACATACAGCTGATCTCAGGAGATCACTACAAACTGATCATTTTGATCAATAACTACGACCGTTTTGAATGTGGATAATAAATGATCAGTCTTCAGTCGTATCACAGCGGAACGAGACCGACATGTTACACTTCCTCACATAAAACCATGTGTGGAATTTGCTCGTTAAACAGCGACTCCACCGCTCCACATGGCTGAGCCTCGGCAGTAATTTATTTACCTTTTTACACACACACACACACACACACACACACACACACACACACACACACACACACACACACACACACACACACACACACTGTGGTTCAGATATTTTCATGTAATCCACAGCTCTTGCTCTTGAACACTCGGAGCAGCAGGTGGGTCGACTTCTGAAATCTGAAAACCAGTTTTTCTTTAATTGACAACATGCACAACATCATGTGACACACGCTCATCTGGTAAACCGCTGGTAAACACGGGGGAGCTGTTTCCATGCAGCTTAAAGCAAATAGCTGGGATTTATTTATTTTTGATTGAATACAGTTTAACTCACAAACTTCTCTAACATGAACCTTTGAAGAAGAGCAAGGTTTGTTGGTTTGGGTTCACTGAGGACATGGGGAGGGCTCATGTGCTGGAAGGGGGAGGTGGAATGCATTACTGGTTTTTGAAATCTCTTCTGCTGACGACCTTTGAACTCCTGCCCTCCCTCCCTCCCTCTCTGGCTCTCTCACACACACACACACACACACACTTCCTTAGATATAAAAGTCATTCTTTTTTTCCCTTCTGCCAGATTTGCTCAGTTTAGCGTCGTTCTGTGTCTCTGTTGTTGACTTCCATCTGTTCGCTTGTCTCTCTGCTGTCCATGTCAGTTCAGTCTTTTCATTCACGTCTCTGTCGAGCTCTCTTTCTCTCTTTTCTCTCACGCTGGGATCAGGCCACACGAGATCAGGCCGATAGAGGCCTGATGTGACAGATGTGGGGGCGGTGGGACATGACAGTGCGGCGGAGGTCTTCAGTCGTCCAGAGTGGACCCAGTCAGAAACAAACCTGACCTGCACGACCTTATTAGACCAGAGGATAATTATACCTGATGTGAAGTGCGGTCATCCCGAACACACGCGAATAGAGAGGTAACATCAAGTAGCCGAGGTGAAGAAGAAGAAGAAGAAGTCATAGAAACAAACTTCAGATCCACTCAGGTATTAGACACACCGTCACACGGACCCGAGACCTGACCAAGACCAGTTTAGACTGTAGGTGGTGACTTGGACCCAGTCCGATCACGTTCCCGGTTTGACTCTTAAGTTCCTCTGAACCGAGTGGACTCATGAAGACTTCTTCTCCGTAGTGTGTCCGTTCTAGATCAGTACGTCTCATGAGGCCCGGATGGAAACACCAGCATCTGTGACTCTGACCTAAAGGATGGGTGTCAACACTCGGCCCTTCATGTGGTGCAGACCAAAAGCCGTCAAGTACCAGGAGCTTGTATTGAATGTGTGGTCAGATTTGTTTGATCATATTTACTGATTTAAATCTTACATTTTCATGCCACTATTTATGTTTAACATTTAACCTTTTAAGAAGTTTTGATGTTTTATAAAATAAAAATGTGTTTTTTGTAGGAAAAATAAAAGTTTAAAAAAAAGGTGTTGTTTTGATAGTTCAGGTGCAGAAACTCAGGTATTTTATTGGCACTGATGCAGGAAAATTTGATATAATACCCGAATGATGGTGATAAATAGGAGCATGATAGGAGCATGAGAGCTCATCAGTGCATACATTTAAGCGGAAAAGAGAAAGCGGCCTCTCCTGTAGATCATGAAAAACCCAAAGCAATGACTGGTTGGAGTTCAGTGTGTGTATTAATATCCCCCAGGCAGGTGATAGCAGCAGGTTATGGCGCCACAAACAGCTAATCTGACACAGTGACCACCTGGAGGAGAAGGATGTAAATGTTGTCCGGTCCCAGCGTCACTCTTTCCTTTCTTTCAAGTCTCTGTTTCATCTTAACGCTCAGCAGCTCACTCTTTCAGGCGCTTCATCTAAAGAGAGAGAGAGACACAGATGTGTGAAGCATAATTTTGTCATCTTCTCGAGGTTCCTTTCTTCCCATCAGCGTCAGCCTCATTCACACATTTTCATCCAACAGCTCAGTAACGAAAACAACCTGAAAAATTCACTTCGCTTTCAGGCAGTTGAATGTGACGTGATGGTGCTGGAGCGAGGGGCAGAATCTCTCCATGGTTTTGCATGTCTACGCCCAAGTCTGGAAGCAGATCTGTCTCCCACTGTCTCCCACTGTCTCACTGACTCTCCCTCCCTCCATCCATCCCTCCCTCCCTCCCCGTCATCCCCCTCCTCCCCTCTGTCCCATCGATCAACTCCTCCCTCCCTTCCTTCTCTCCTCTCAGTGGCTGCTCCTCGTCCTCGCCACCTCTCCTTTAAGAGGTTTTCTCTGTTCTCTCGGTTGCCAGGTAAACTCCGGCATGTCTGGGTCCTTTAACACCGAGGACGGGTTGGGTTGGGTTGGGTTGGGGTGGGGTGGGTGGGCGGGTTTGGGCGTTAGTGGGTGGGCCTGGCTTTTGATTCGCCGGGTGTGGCTTAGAAATTTTTCTCCATGTTGGCTTAGAAATCTGCTGAAGGGTAAATCGAGGCCTAACCACGGAGGGAGGAAAACTGCTCCTGCACGGCTTTCTAAGGGCAGGAACAATGAATTGTGGGGTTGCACTTCAAACCACATCTCAATCAGTGATATCCACTGGATGTCAAAATATCCATCATCATGTTACTGATTGCGTCGTGGTCAAAGGTGCAACTTGTTTGAAGGTTTCACCCAACAAAGAGAAGTGCAGCTGCATTCTTCTTCTCCACGTAATTCAGTGTAGATTTACCCTTTAAGGAAAGTCACGACATGACAGCTACTTTTTTTTTTTTGGCAAATACGCTCTCTGTTCAACTCCATGACCTCATTTACACCTGGTTTTAATTAGTCGACATTTAATTTGCATGAATTTTCCATGTGTTGCAGGTGATTAAGTCCATAACACATGAAGGTGTAGGTCAGAGTTCATGTTCGTCAGCTCAGACTCCAGTGGAAGGAAAAAGTGATGGTGATCCACTTTTGGTCAGTTTCTCCCTTTAATTCGAGCTCGACCAATTGAACGTTGCTGATTATTAATGGAGGGTTTTATCTTATTACGGTGTCTGTGTTTATGTGAGAAGCAAAGAAAGAAGTTTCGGTACTGGAATGAAAATGATGGAGGAATTTGGTCATTACATGGTTTGTCCACATGAGGGCGCTCGCATGTTTAGTTTTCAGCTGTAAAACATTTCCCTCTGTTCAAAGTAGAGCTGAGACATTTTATCAATCGACAGAAGATAAAATGCAAAAATTCCAATAATGGATCCATCATTTAAATAATTTTTTATTTAATCAGAATTTACTATTTTCAGCATTGAAGTGACTCTTTAGAATAATCAATAATGAAAACGATCGTCAGGTGCAGCCCTAGTACGTAGTATCTGGGTCAGAATAATCAAATCCTGTTTAACAAAATAATCTAATTTAGTATATCCTTATTGGAAATGTTTGTTAGATACACAAGAATAATAATAACAAGAATAATAATAACAATAATAATAATAATAATGATAATAATAACAATAATAATAATGATGATATTATACGTCCAATAATGGTTTCATAGAGATATTTCAGACTGGTCTGTTGTGTCTTAACTTTGCTCACAGATTAGTCTGATACAAATAAGACAAATAAGACACCTCGGGCTAACCCATGCATAAGTTACCATGGTAACTGTCTGTGACACCTGCACTGACTAGTAGCACTCATCAACAAAAAACAGGAAAAATGGCTCATACTTTGTGGTATAGTTAACATTGTTATGGAGAATGCGACGAGAAGGGAAAGACCGAGCGGTAAGATGTGGTTCCTCGGTCGGCCATTTTTTTTTATTGAATTAAATTTTAATTTACCCAGAATTCATTGTGCCACAGTCCAGTTTCCAGAAAGACAGTCAAGAACTAAACTGCTTTGTGCAACAGATGAATTTAGACGCCGGAGATCTGTATCCCTATACCTACCTTACAAAGCAGGTAGATGACAACACTAAACGAACAGTGCACCGAAGTATTAGCATAAGCGTGTGCAGAGTAGTACAGGGGAGACGCAGAGGCTGAAAGGACACCGCTCATGTTGTTGCAAAAGTAAGAAGGATGATCAAAGAGCGTATCTGCCAAAATGTCAGCACAGCTCTTCAGCTGGCAGGACACATGGGGACAGATAATGATCACGTGGCACCTCTAAGATTAAAGGGAGAAGGATGGGACAGCATCACAAGACACCCAGATGGGACTTGTAGGCCCTCGAGGGGTTAAGCTGTCCGCTCTTTGCAGCGTCAGCTCTGGATGCATCCTAATAGCTTCAGATGGTTTCTTTCTCTCTTTGTTTTACATCCGTGTTTAGATGGAGAGAACATGAAGCTGTTGAGATGCAGCCTGGATGTGTGTTTTTTTTTTTGTTTTCTTTTTTGGTTATTGTTGTCCTATCCTTCACTTTCGCAGCATATTATAAAGCCTATAGTTTTGAATAGACTCAAGGACATTAACTGCTGAAATAGACTGTAGTCTTTTAGAGCACAACAAACAGTAGCACTGCAGCCAGTATCTGTCCTCCACTTTAATCACCAGTGCCCAGTTCCAAATGTAATCCCAGTACCTGCTCAGTGTCGTAATCATCAGTGAAAGGGGTAGGAGCGAGGGTTGTTGTTTGGAACTGGGTCCCATCATCCACCGTAGTCCTAAAGACACTAACTCTCCCTGCGAGCACCTGATCACAAGCTGAGCTTTGACTGATAGAAAAACCTTCACAGATTTTTTAAGTCTTGAAGATCCAGTAGGTAACTCTTCTTTAAGTTTTAACTCGCACCCAAGACACAAAAGTTACGAAAAATAAATACTTTGCTAACACTTTACTTCAAATCCGCCTATTTAGCCTTTATTGATTGGTTTGTGTTACACTGCAGTGTATTGATATGTGTTTATATGTATTTATCATCAACTGTAATTCCTTCTGTGGACACCCATGAGTGAAGGCAGATGTATAACCAAATGATGAGTGACAACGTAGCTAAAATATAAACAAGGTATAACAACAACAACAACAACAATAATATTATTATTATTATTATTGTTATTCTAATAGTATGTTTTCATAGGAGAAGTTAGAAATGTTGACAAAAACACTGCACAGTAATAAACACTTGAAATGTCCTTAACTGCTTACGATTATATTAGTGTATTATAAACCGTTTACTTAATGCTGATAACAATAGAAAATAGGGGAACAAAATAAAATGCACCTAAGCTTTTGTCATATACGTCTCTGAACTCAGTCCTGTGAGTTTGTTCCGTTGAAATTGAAATAGTATGAATAAGTCAGAGGGACATGTATCTGAATATCTGTTCGTGTAGTTCAACGTCACTACCACATTATTTGGTTTGAGTTGTTTAATGTGACTGAGGCTGAGGAAATGGAAAATCCTGCAACTCTACATCATGCTTTTTGCAAAGAGTAAACAAGTCTGCGCTCTCTGCTTTCAGAGAGACGTAAACAGCAAAGTGCACTCTGATTTAATAATTCATATATTTAGATTTAGTTTAGACAATGGTTGTTTAATGGTTGCATTTATCTGATTTAAGTTTACATGACACAAACAGGGCAGGACTAACATGAAGGCTAAAAGGCTTTAAAAAAAAAAAACTTGTAGCTGGAAAAACTATTCAATTAATTCAATTTTATTGTATTTGTATAGCGCCAAATTATAACATGCATTATCACAAGGCAAGACCTTACAATATTATAGCATGAAACCCAAAAGTTCCCACAATGAGCAGCACTTGATGACAGTGGGAAGAAGAAACTCCCTTTTAGCAGGGATAAACTTCCAACTGAACCAGACTAAATAAGTACTGAGTCATAAGTTTGAAGCTGTAGATGAACGTTAAGCGGAAGGATCTTAATAAAGAAAAGTTCCCTACTGGATCTCAACAGTCTTGAATATCTAAACAATAAAGATTCTTTCATGACTAAGTGAAAATCTAACCACTAACTAAGAAAATGAGCCGTAGATATCCAGGATTAACTAGCGAGCTGAATTCCTTGAAAGTTAACGCACTTGACGTGTCCAGGTAAAACAGTTTCCTATGACTCACTGAGGCCCGCTGCTGGAAGACTCACGCCTACTGGTAATAACACACAGCTGGTAACGAGCCTGCGTTTAAAGTGTGTGTGTGTGTGTGTGTGTGCGTGTGTGTGTGTGCGTGTGCGTGTGTGTGTGTGTGTGTGTGTGTGTGTGTGAGACATACATTGATGAAACTAGCATGCCACAGTAAAAACTAAACAGTCTGCTGGATGAAGCTCATGAATGTCAGTCATTGTTTATCGGAGCAGAAGTGGAAAATAACTTGCCAGAAGTGTTTTAGGCTTTGACTCAACAATAAGATGTTATTTTAATCAGAAAATTATTAGTAAATATGACTAAGAATACAGTAGTAGTGTCAGCACCATTCTTTAACTCGGGCTGCATTAGTTTCACTATTTTCTCTTGGGTGTTATCCACCTTTGAAAACACAGAAAAAATGGGAAAATAGTAAAAAAAAACAAAAACAAACAACAACAAAAAAAGTGGAATTTGTTTCATATTTGGCGCTTTAACCCTTTCACACCCAATCGTTTCGAGACAGCATATGTATGAGGTGTCAGTTGTCTATTTTGCAGAATAGCGAATGTGGCAAACACGTACTGGTACTGGCTTTTCTGCTTTTCTCCGTTGGTGTTTGACTGTTGTTGAGACAAAGTGCGTCATGTGTCATGTGTCAGCTTGGGCCTTTTTAAAGACCACGATCTAATGGATTAAACGAGAAAATAATTTGCAGATTAATTGATTCTTTTTGGAAAAAAAAAAAGACAAGAGTCAAATCAGACAATACAGACATTGTTCTGTTTGTCTGTATTGATGTGATACAGTAGTGACTGTCTGGGGATTTCTACATCATACTAGTGTCCTGCAGCTATTAAGTCTGCTCTCCTCTGTGGACAAGTTTTCACCTGCAAATATTGGTCACAGAAGAAATCAACCAAACTCCCCACCCTGAGTGAAATAAGTTTAGTACAGTCTTTATGGGAATACTTGGGAGTATTAAGTAGTAAGTATTAATATTAAATGAAATGGTTTGTAACACATTGTAATGCAGTTGTAATAGAAATAAGGACATTAAGTTTATTAATGATAAATTAAGTGTATGTCAACAATTCTGACTTCTCCCGTGAAGACGTTTTTGATGTGTTTTCCTATATTGTGATTCATTATCCGTCTATACACCTTCAACTTAACCGCAGGAGTTACTGTTGTTGACAAACACATTAATAAACACTCATATTGATAATATTTTGCTGGTCAAATTGTGGGTGTTAAAAGGTTAAAGTTTCCCTTCTGTTCCGCCGCTGTCAATTATCTGTATCATAGTTTGCATCATGCGCTGCTCAGCGGTAAATTAAGGTACTTTAAGCTTTGTAAATATGAAAAAAATCACTAATTGAGTCACTGCTTATTTGGAAAGTTTTGTGAGTCACCGCCTTGGCGTGTGAGACACACAGCGCTTGGCTGATGTGTCCGTGAAACAAAGGGTGTGTGCAGATGGTCATGAGTTTGTGCTGTGCGTGGATGATATAACTGAACTTTAACTTCTGTAACCTCCTACCCTCTTGCTCTCACACGTTTACTTTACAACGTTTGTGTAGGTGTTACTGTTGTTATTTTGTGCATCATTCATACCTTGTGTGTCACTAATTAGTTGTGTTCATTCATTATTAACCTGCATTTGACCCTTCACTGCATCTTGTGCCCTCGAGGTGTTTCTGTTGATCTGTAGTGGCATCATAGAGCCGTTAGTCCACGACTGGCTTTGAAACAGTAGAATTAAACCAACGACACAGCTTTGACTAGAGATGAAGAGTTTTATTTTGTATGTACGCCTGATAGATCTTCATCACACTGCTCTGTCTCTTAGCTGCTAACAGGAGCTGTTAATAACCCTTTTCTCTGTGCGTGTGTGTGTGTGTGTGTGTGTGTGTTTGCAGAGTTTCGTTCGCCGTCACACCTCAGTGGGTTGAACCGAACAGCGTCTCTGAGCGGAGCGGACCGGACCGAGTCTCTCTCCGTCAGCGGCAGCAACAGCCAGCTCAACAACAGCATCCCCTCGCAGCAGTACACACCCGACTTCTACGTCCGCGCCCTCACCGACCTGCAGTTTGTCAAGGTTGGTTACAACAAACATGCCCCGTCGTTTAGTATCGTATGAGCTGCTTCCGAGAGCGTTCAGACCCCTTCATCGTTCTACGCTCAATTTACTGAGTTAGATTTCATTTTAAATGGATAAAATTGCGATTTCATTAAGCTGGGGGAAAGAAATTGTGAAGGTTGGTGGAGACACAAACACAAGTCCAAATGAATGATAATGTTGCTCCATAACTGCTGAATGTGTAGATGAGCAGCTGTTTATTCACCATATCAACCTAAAAGGTGATATGTCAATTTTGTGTTCATAGTTTCTGCTGCCTCCAAACAGCCAAAAAAAAAAAACAGTTATTGGAGGTTTAAATGTTTCATATCGTATAAAAGTAGATTTCCATGTGTTGTTTGATTATAAAGCAGGTTCTATATTAATACTGTGAAAGTATCAAAGCCTCAGTCCACAGAGAAACATACACAGCCTGTATTCAGAAACTGAGCCTTAAAACAAGCCGTCAGGACTTCTGTAACTTCGTGATGTCACAACAAACCAGTCTCCGCTCTCAGTCTAAGCCTAACCCACCTGGACCAATCATCCATTTTATATTTTTATTATATCACTCAGAAAACAGTCAGTCCTTGACCTGTTGTTACTACAGCTCCAGAGAGAAGATGTAAATATCTTCTATATCTTCTAATGGATCAACACTTCAAATGAAACACTGTAAAAGTGGAAAATATTGGACCTTTTTAAAGGAAAATTCTACCAAAGAAAACCAGCATCAGCTTCGATCTCCTTCTCATGCCCCCCCCCCCCCAGATCACACGGGCTCAGTACCAGAACGGCCTGATGGCGTCTCGTCTGGACAGCACACCTCAGTCCCCAGAGAGCGGCCACAACGTGGTCCGCCTGGATCCAACCACTCCCCCCGCCAACACCACCTTCACAGACCTGGGAGCGGACTCCACCCCGACAGAGAACGGACCGGACGAGACGACGCTTCTCCTGCTTAACGAGCAGAACTCACCGCACACACCCAACCACCACAGCCAGCTGGAAAACAGCATTTGACCCCCCCCCCCCGATCCTCCGTACTCCTACGTTTGCACGCACGCACTACTACGCTCGGATGTATGCTGGGGAGGGGAGGAGTGTGTGCGTGTGTGTGCGTGTGTGTGTGTGTGTGAGTGAATGGGAATGCAGACACATGCCAGGCCCAAAGAGACAAGCCATGTGTATGAGTTAAACAAAACACACGTACACACACACAGACATACCAAAGTGTACTGTGGAAACTTGCCTCCACTTGTCCATCACAAACAGAATCACCACAAACACAAAAGTCATGTAGTTCATTGAAAGCAACGAATATCTGCATATGTGTGTGTGTGTGTGTGTGTGTGTGAGAGAGAGTATGAGTGTGTGTGAATGCTCCTTATGTATTCACTGACTCAAGATCTGAAGGACCTGCTTGTCTGGACCAGGAAGCTCCTCCCTCTCGCCCATCAACGTAGTCGTCGTTCAGAGGCCTCCACGATTTTGCGAGCTTCTTCCCCTGTGTGTGTGTGTGTGTGTGTGTGTGTGTTTTTAAATCTGTGTGTGTATGTGTGTGTGCTTCCACCTCACTGTCCCTAATCAGAGACTCAGGGAGACTCCACCCCCCTCCCCCCTTCCCCTTCCAGTACATACATGCAAGTGCAGTCGCAAACCAACCCGCCGCTGCATGCGTAGCAACCTGCATCCCCCTCCACACCATCCATACAGCTAGAAGACAAAGACGACCCGAGCATGTCAGCGGAGTTCCAACAAAGTAATATATGTTCCGTAGAAATTTATAGTGAGATATTTATTGATAAAATCTGTGTGAGACGGACACACGAGACTCCTACTGACTCTTTTTCTGTTTTGTTTTCCTTATTTTCGTTTGTGGTGGGGGTGGGTATATATACATATATATCCTGGATAGAAGCAGTAAGTAGCCCAGAGCCTTTATCCCAGAGTTGTTAAGAGATTCAGCGCCGATAGACAGCCAGTCTGTATTGTGATTAAGACAATCAATATTGATTATGATGAATGTGTTTAAATTTAAATGTGTAGGGTACGTTAACTGTGGCAGCCCGGCTCTCAAACGGCCTCCTCTCTGTGAAATCGATCCGTCCGCGGGGCCTCGATGACGGATCTGAAAAGATGCGATGGGCAGTTTTCAGATGAGACCGGTTGGCGTAGGAATCAGTTTTCGCAGAGGTGAAGGTGTTTGAGAGCGCAGGGACTTCAGTGTGAGTCCTTTCCTACTTTATAAGAGAGGGTGGTTTGTCTGTGCGTGTGTGTATGTGTGTGTGTGTTTGTATATGTGTGTTTTTTTATGTGACCAAAATGGCCATCACCAGACTTGGTGGGAACAGAAAACCAAAAGAGGGAAGCTTGATCACCTCCTGACTAGAAAATACTATAAATCTGAGACTTTATTTATTTAGTTAATGTGTGTGTACATTGTCAATGAGGGGGGGCAAGAAATATGATTTTTTTTTTTTTTTTTTTTTTTTTTTTTTGCCTCATTGTGGGATTTTATGTGTAAAATATTATTTTGCATTCAGTGGTTATGTTTGGGGTTTTATTTTTTTTCTAAATCAGATCTTGGGGAAGGGGTCACTCTGTCGTACTGAACAGCAACTTAAACATTTATCGTTCTTTGTATTTCTGTAGCCACACACACACCGCTCAGCCCCGGCATCGAGAAAAGTCTGTCAGTGTCATCGGAAACTACGTTGTATATTTTACAGTTGTCACAAAGCATGTTGTCCAGAGGACTGCACACACTCCAGTTATTTTTTACTGTACATTCTGAGGAGATTTTAAAGGAAAAATTTGTCCCAAAACTCGTAAACTTTGTGTCTGGCAACAGATTTTTCTTTGTCTGATTTCTACAAGAACCACAGTGGTGTTTATTAGATATATTTACTGATATTAAACATGAAAAGTAAATCATACACCAGGTTTTTGTTTTTAAAATCAAAGAACAATGTTTTTTCCTGCATCTATGATTGATTGATTTCTATACTAGCTACTACATATACCAGAATGCAATGCAGCCTCACAAAACTTGTTGTCACTTTTTTCTCTCATCTTTGCTGTCAGTATGTTTTTTGTTTGGCACTTAAAACAAATAAATCACAGGTGAATCCAACAAGCGGGGGGGGGGGGGGGGGGGGGGGGGGTGGAGGGGGGGGGGGGGGGGGGGATTCCTGGAAACGTAACGGACATCAGGAGAAGGAGTAGATGACACACCGAAGGGAAGTGGATGCACCAGAAACAGTTAACTTAAAACAACAAGAACAGATCATCACAAACGGAAGATTTCTGAGTTTGTAACAGTGGATTTTTTTTTTATTATTTTTTTTATTTTTCCTTTAATGTCGCTGCTTTCTGAGATCGACGACATCAGACTCTCAATCAACACTGAGGTGTTTCCTTATCACTGAATTCCACTTCTGTCAATGAACGAACACTGTGAAGTTTTGTGAAAGTAAAACTACTGAAGCGCTGTTTTGCAAATTCATTGGAGTAACTTCTGTTTTTTTTTTTTTTTTTTAAATCTTTGATTCATCTGATTTTGTGGTTTTTTTCTTTCTCGGGAAATGTCACAAGTCTTTTTTTTTTTCTTCTTTTTTTTTTGAGAAAAGACGCAAGAAAAGTTTGGAAATTTCAAGCTAATCTGGTGATGCAACACATGCAAATAGTGATAGTGCTTTCAAAACCCATTGATATAAGTTTCAGCTGAAGGTTTTGCCTGTCAAAATTAACACATAAATAATAGTTGATTGTGTCATTTTTTCTTCCTTTATGTTGTGTTTGAGTGTGAGACAGATTTCTGCCAAAGACACAAGTGGTGATCATCTAAAGAATAAGTTAGACATTTGCTTGACATGTTGTGCTGTGGGCTGATGCATCATGGGTCTGAGCTGTGCCGCTGTTTTGTGTCTTCAACGGTATGCCAATAATTTATCTACAAGTTGCAATTATTTGAGCTGAACTTGATGCTTCGTCAGTTCGTCTTTTACATCCAGTTTATTCAAGTCATGGTCAGTTTGTTTCAGCCTCGAGGCTAAAGGCCGTCAACACAGTGTGCCTCACACTGCCTTAAAAACTCTTCAGTTTGAGTCCAATTGAGTCAATTTACCTGATCCTTTCTTTCACAGTGGTACAATCCTTTCTTTTTAACTGGAATATTTGTTAATTACACTAATTATATTTCAATGGGGACTTTCAAAACACTAAAATCACAGCAGCGTGGATTTACAGTAAAATAACTGGCTGAGTTAAACCTCAGTGGGTGAAGACAAGGACAAAGTTAGCTACTAGCAAAGAGGAAAATCAGCCTGTTTTCATGGTATTAATGATTCTTCTACCATTATATAGCTCACTTTATGATATAACAAAAGCAAACCAAAACCAATGTAATAATTAATATAAAAAAAAGTCAAATTCTTCAAACGCTCACAGTATCGACTGGTGGTTTTTAGCAGCTTATGACTTTCTGGCTGTTAGTCACTGAAACAGACTTTTGGAGCTAAGGATGCTAACTTACCTGCATATATAAATTATTAAAGATGGTTCGAATTTAGCTAACATGGCCCCTGCAACTTTGGGCGTCTTCAATTTTGGTATGTAGCAACATTTTTCTGGGATTGAATGTCCATATTCACATGAACATACGGTTCGTGGAGGTTTGTGATTAAAGAACATTCATGTTGTTAGCCTTCAAAAACTACAGTATCCATGAAACTTTGACAGCATGCTAAAACATTTGTGACCTCATTACTTTGTCTGCTAATCCGTCATTTGGTCACATCCCAACACGAAACTTAGTGGGAAATGTTAAAACTGTTATTCAGCAGCAGGTTTCAGCCTAAAATGTATTTTTGTGATCTCACACTGTCTCTGTTTAATGATTAAACATTTGCCTATAGGACAGAAGCAAAGTTTAAATCCAGCATTCCCAGCTGGCAATGTGAGGTTGTGACTAATTATTGGATTTAAGCATTTGTTTCACCTCGGGGAAAGATTGCATAATTTCGGGAAAACTGCGGACAGCTGTGAGCTCATTAAAATACCTTTGAAGATGCAACCTGCTTAAAGTTTTAACTGTTAACCCTCTCAGGTTTGTCTAAGGATCACTTACACTGACTCATTGAAAGCTGACAAAACAATCATCTATTTATCTTTGTTTTGCTCTCCGGTTTAGTCATAGCAAGTCATCTATCTTAGAATATGGACAGAAAACACCAGCAACGTGTTTAATCTGTTGAGAAAGACTGTCGAAAGCAAAAGAAGTGCACCACCCACTGATGTTTTTACACTTCTTGCGTACAACTTCTGAAAACGTCTCTGATTTGGAGAAAAAGCCTCTGCATATGCCTTCTAACCAAGAACAGCTGTTCCCTATTTTGGGAGTTCAGAAAATTGAACCAGCCTGGACTCATCCGTGATTAAAAATGAAAGCACTTTAGCAAAGGACTGCAGTATTTTTCCAAAGGACACAAATTTGCCAAAGTTGCTGGATGAGTAGCTCTGTCACAATTCTGTTACTGACCCGGATTTCATAATCATTTTGTCACCGTCGTGAGACTGCATTTATTTAATTTCACCATCGTGTCAAGGAACTCGTTGACTCACTAATCTGTTGCCTTCACCTTCATCTTTTAATGACTGTACTGGATTTTTTTTTTTTTTTTTGTGTGTGTTCATTCCTTAAATATTTTACTCACACACACACACACACACACACACACACACACACACATTTCAACTGACTGTTTTTGTTCCTTTTGTTGATTTTTATGGCTGAGATTGTTTTTGTTTATGCTTGTGTACAAGTTGGAGTACCCCACCCCTCCCCCACCTGCTTTAAATTGTACTGAGTTTGGGTTCATTATGCGTGTGTGTGTGTGTGTGTGTGTGTGTGTGTGGGTATGTGTGTGTGGGAATGTGTGAGTATGTGTGTGTGTCAGTACTTGTGAATCAAGTCTGGTTATTTTTTTTTTTTGTACCTCAGAAACACTGTCAATAATTGTGGTAAACAACAATTTTTTTTCTATTTGTCATGAATTTAATTTGGGAACGGAGCGAATGGAGCGACTGGCGTTGGAGGGAAAAAATAAACTGATTGTCCTTCATTCTCTCTGGCATGCTTTAACTTTTAAAAACAACAGAGACACAAGGTGTAAATACTGTTTTATAATTTCTGTCTTAATGAGTTTTGAAGATGAAGAAAGTTATTAATAAACCTGGGATATATTTCTCTATGGACCTTTGTGATTACCTTGATTTTTTTCTGAGGACTTTTTAGACTTATTTATTCCACAATGATAAGACACGGTTACTCTTGTTGCCTAATGGGCC